CCACTTTATTATCACTTTCTGGCCCATGTGTGATAATGTCCTTAGAGTATGTAGTTTAAAAGAGCAATCCAGTGCTGAGCCATTTCTGTAAAGTAGGTTCAACTTAGCACCATTGATAACTGCTTTAGATTCAGAATAAAACCTTCTGTGGATGCACCACACACAGGCCTGGGAGATACCGCTGCCACAGTAGCCAGGGCTATGGGAGAAGTAAGTGGTATTTAGGAGCTGGTGTTTCTTATCAAACCATATAGAATCATAAAGCTGGAAGAGACCACAAGGGCCATCCAGTCCAAGCTCTTCCCATGCAGGAATACACAATCAAAGCACTCCTGACAGATGGCCTTCCAGCCTCTGTTCCTGTAGTTTGAAACCATTGCTCTGGGTCTTATTCTCTGGAGCAGCAGAAAACAAACATGCTCCATCCTCAATATGACACCCCTTCAAATATTTAAACATGGCTATCATATCATATCTTAACCTTCTCTTCCCCAACTCTTCCACAGCTCTTCTCCAGCTCCCTAAACCATGGCATGGCTTCCAGACCTTTCACTATTTTGGTTGCCTTCCTTTATTGTATAATAAATAATATTTTGTATCCTGTTTCATCTCAGGTTATAAATGCTTTATAGACATCACAGTCCACTACATATCTTCTCTGCCATTGTATTGAATAGGATCCAGGCAAATTAGTGCAGAGTTTCAGCCAGGGAGTGCAATCATATATATACTCCAATGTACCATGGAAAGAGATGTGCCACCACAATTCTCTGTATCCAATAAGGATTCTTAAGGATAGATTTTCCTTAGAGAACAACATCTGACATACTGTACATTTTATCTGAAACAAAATCTGACTAGATGTTGCTGCATAAATGCAATTCTACATTTTTTATTTTTTACAGCAATTTAACTCTTCTGTTTATAGCAATTTTAGCTAGATTATTGTTCCCATTATTTAATGTCTAAGCTTATGAATGTGCTGATATTCTTACTTAAAAGCAAAATTGTAAAGTCTCTGCTTACTTTGGGGTCAACCTTATGACTAATAAGTCTCTGTGGGTGGTGTATACTCAGTTTTCATGCACTTTAATTGGACAGCAGTATTAATCATCACCTCTAAAAGGTGACACACCTGAATAATTTGCTAAGGCGGAAATAGAAATTTAAGCATGACTCATCTGTGGGTTTCATTTTAAAGGGCAGCATAAAGTAGCCAAGAGGGGTCATCTGGATGCCCATCAATTTATCAATATATCAATTTATCTTGAAAATGTGTTATGAAATGGCTAGACGTTTGTTGCTGACAGAAAAAGGAGCATTAGCAACCAAAAGGCCTAGCACTTTGGTGATGGAAAGCTTGTTCTGCCCTGAAGGGGCATATATTGGGAACAGAACATTGCTAAAGGATATTATGTGGCCACATCTTAATATATTTTTAACATTGATGCTAGGTCCACATTTTGGAGCTGTATGACTAAGGTTGTAGGGTCTCAGGATGACAGCTGCTCAGGATGTTATGCTCTTCTGGGTTACCAGGGAGAAAGACAAATCACAAAGCAAGTATCAAGGAAGAGAATGATAAAAATTTGTATGTGATGTAGCTTTAAAGCCTGGGAGCTCACTTGCACCCATTCTCAGCTGGCATCAGGAGTCTCCGGCTCAGTGCAAAGGTGCCTGTAAGCAAGTTACACTTATTCAACAAAAGCCAGGCACTAAGGGAAGGTAATGAAGAGAGATGATGATGATGATGATGATGATGATGATGATGATGATGTGTGCACTTGGCACTTTCATGTCATTTGGAGAAAGGCAGAAACTAGAGTGCCGGTACTGTGAATCATGAGCCTTCTTGTTGAAAACCTTGCAGCAATGGTACAAGGTCTAAGGGGAAAAAATATCTGAGGATGGGAAATGAGCCTTTTCACTGCAGTAGTCTAGTACAGTGGGCCCTCCATATCTACTGGGCTTTGATTCCAGGACCCCTCCCCCATAGATACCAACAACTGAGGATGCTCAAGCCCCATTATATACAAGGGCATAGTAAAATGGTTTCCTGTATATAAAATAATAAAATCAAGACTTGTTTTTTTGGAATTTTTGTATTTTCAGAATATTTGGATAGTTGAACCCATGAAAAATGAATCTGTGGATATGGAGGGTCAACTGTACCTGGAGAAAAAACCCCAAACACCCATATGTCATATGTGCGAAGAGGACACAAACTGTAGCAGCAATTCTTGCAGCCAATGGCAAAGTTCATCATCTACTCAACTGGAAAGAAATGTTTCAGAGGTTTTTCCTTGCTCTGGGTTTCCATTTTACCTGATTAGCTGGGTTTTGCACAATTTTGGGTCCATTGAACTGGATTGTCCTCATATCCATTTCCAAAATTAGCTTACTCAGATGCAAATTGGGTTACTTTCTGAAAGTACCTTTTTGATATTAAAGGGCCTCTAGTCTGTGCCATCACAAGAACCTGGCCTTGTTTCTCAGGTTTTGACTTTGAATTCTCAGGGAATAGCATATTGCTGATGTGGCATCTGAAGACTGTAGTGGCCCAAGAAGTCAGTCTTGCTTTTGCAGTGGTCATTCTTTTAATTCTATTGATTAATTATATTTTAGCTTTTGTATGGTGTGTACATTTAGTTGCAACAGTTTCAGCTTTTGGAAACTGCTTGGGTACTAACTTGGGGGGAAAGTGGGGAATAAATAAATGAATATAAATTATAGGGGGAGATGTTCCTTCAGGTAACCTGGTTAATATTTCAGAAAAGTAATTGAATTCCAACTGTTTTAAGAACAGCAGTAACAAAATATCAGCAGCATCTATTTACACTCCTCATACTATCACTGTTAACTTGTCAACCTGCACAAATATTATCTGATCTTAAGTGATTCTCCAGTATTTCCAGCAGAAATCTTTTCTTTTGCCTGAAATCTGAATCTTTCAGCTGGAATTGAACT